TGAATCAATCAAACTATCGAGCTTGGGTTTTGGAGAGCATTGAGAATGTGGAAATTAGAAAAGGTTTTTTTGCATCACAATTCTGGATTCACTTACCTCTCTCTGTAGGTTTCCTCACTCCAAGTGCCTGAAATTCTCACTGCATATAGTTCTGTTTACCTGAGCTTTTCATTTTATAACATACATTGTGAAACAGAGTCACCACTGTGTGTGCTGGGTGGTTAGACAGCCAGGTGCTGGTCAAAGATTTAAACTGGAGGTATATAAAAAAAACCCAAACCAAACCAAACAAACAAAAAACCCCCAAAACAGGGATCTCTAACAGATTCTGTTTAACTTAAATTTCATAACTTAACACATTTTAATATGCAGAATTCAAGTAAATTGCCTTGAACTTGTCGAAGGAAAATACCCATCTTAAAGTTTACGAGGACATGCATTACCACAGGAAGTTGAAAGATGGATGTATAAATAGACTTGTATAAAACGATTTGACAAATATTATGTTCACTCCTGAAATGGGCCACCAAAGTCCTTCGGATGGATTCATTGTTCTCATCTCAGGATGCTTTTCTCATGTTCTATTGCAAATTGGTGAAGCTGTGATTCATACCTATTTTAATGTCTTCATGACATGACAGGTTCTTAGGAGACTGTACACTGAAAGGTGGTTTTGTTCTCTTTTTTTTTTTTTTTTAACCATCTAGGTTCCAGTTAATTAAACACCTTAGGACAGCAAAACTCTTAAATATGTATTGTAAACATAAAACATTAATTTCTGATCTTGCTGTTGTGAGCAACTGAAATGATGAATGGTAATAAAAAAATTTATTATATCCAACTATAACATTTTAATTCCATCCTTTTTATGACAGTTTGCATATAACTTGGTTCCATTTTGGTATAGGAAGATGCCTTATTAGGCAAAAAACACTGAGAGTAGACTCTTCCCCTCTGAAATAAATGGTTTGCAGTTTAAATATCTATAAATATACAGATTCAGCAATTTAAGTGCAATATTTGAATAAATACAGAGTATTTGAATATTTTTTTTATTTCAGTACTTAAATGATGTTTGGCAATTCACTAGGCTTTCAAAATTGCTTTTTTGGTGTATCTTTTTCCCATTTGGGTCAAAGGCAACATTTCCTAAGCAAAAGTAACAGTGGGCTATTTTGAAAATCCCTTTTCTAAAAAATGTAAATGGCGCGCATCATATGCTAATCTCTTAGTTGGTGTATTTATAATATAGAATTAGAACAAAAAAGACTTCTCTAACAGGGCCCTTAACTGCAAATTTTTAAAAAAGGAAATAAAAAAGTAAACCAAAATATTTTAAAGCAATAGTAATCCTTCTTCCTTGAATAAAACAGTATTTTGTCCTTGTTCTAATTTTATGCAATCTGATTATTCAGATCAATAGTAATATCCGATATATATAGGTATACCTATTTGTGTGTGCATATGTACACACATCCACACAAATTTTGAAGGATGACAAATGCCGGAGTGCTTTCTGTTAGCATCCCTTTTGGCTTTTGATGCGACTGTTTAGTACTGAATAACAACTCTACAGCAGTCTGGATGAAGAAAGGAAGCCTACAACTTCCAGATTTGACCACAGGAGATGATAAGACAGGTTCTTTAGGAGGATTCAGTTTAGCAAGGCCAGTGTGATTAAGACCCATCATCTTTTGAAGAGTGCTTGTGGGCCCGTGATGACTGGCTCAGTGCTGCATTTCATATCTCTTCCCCCACCCCTCCCAGAAGCAGAGCAGCCTTTATGGGGGCAGCAGTCAGTGGTGGCTCCAAGGGACTGGTGACATCTGCCAAACAGGCTGTTGGGATGCTTCCCACACCACTGCCCTCCTGTCTGCTGGTGGTCTGCCTTCTACATACCTAAGCTTGACTTCTGAGAGTGGATTGTAATGTCTGAAAGGTATTTTTTATTACATAAAGTAGAGCCAAAACCAGCTGCTAGCTGCTGCTTGGCCTAGATTCCTTCTCATTGTGTGCAGAGGATTTCTATATCCTTTTAGCAGGCACATACATTTACACTAATCCAGAAAACTGCTGGGTGAGAATAGTTTTCTCATGGATGTTTTAGTTATTTCCTTGAAACTCTTCTTATTGGTGAGAAATGCTGTATGCTTTCCTTTCAGACATTAAGGCTAAGCTACACTCCAGTGAGATAACTCCCGTTGGTCTGGGAGAATTTTGGGTCAGTCTTTGCTGAATTGCACTGAAGTTATTAGAAATGTATTATCTGTATTTTAAATTTTAAGATGTATGCTTTTTTTTGTATTCTCTGAAGACTTGATCTGAAGAAAACAGATATTATTGCCACTAGTTCTGACTCACATTTTCTTGACTTTGATTTTTATTACTCATGGAACAATACCTGTCAGAAAACATTCATCTGCTGTCAATGTAAGGCCTGATTCTGCTTTTTCTTGAGAGAATTTTCAACTTGATGCTTGCCTTAGCTAGATGGACTGAAAATGGGGGAGGTCAGTGGAGGGAGAAATGTTTTACTACAGTGCGGTGCAGAGCACTGCAAAATGTATGTTCTTCAGTAGACTCATCTTGATGAACATTCATAGCACAGTCTACCAATGACAAGAAAAAGCTACAACTCTCTGCAGATAAAAAATGCAGCTCAGAGTGACACATGTAAATGGGATGAGAAAGTTTAACAGCGCCAGGCAAGCTAAAGTTTATGAGGACAGAGATTTTATTGGAAAACAGATTATCTGGAAAAAGGCAAATTTGTGTACACAGTAGCCCTTCTTCAGACCTAGCATGTATGTAACACATTTGATCTGCAATTTTCCTCTCCGTATAAAAATCATCAGGAGAGACTTCATAGGGAAAAAAGGATATGTCTTTACCTGAAATTATTGCCATTCAGAGGATAAAGCTCACCAGACAGTGGAGGTGATCTCAAGATCTCAGGTGATTTACAGTTTAAGTCAAGAACTCAAAGGTGAGTCTTGGATCTAAGCTTCCAGCTTTTCCAGCTTCCCACTAGCAGGTTCCCAAGGGGAACCTTGTAACAGAGTAGCTAAGAGGATAAATGCACAGAGCTTGGTGTTCATGAGGTTCTCTCATCTGTGTTATTGCAACTTGGTAGCTACCTTTTTAGAAGGACAGTCCCAAACTCGTCTAGTGCAATGTTATTGGCAATACTTCTGTCTGCTGTAATTTTTTCTCCAACTTGCAAAACAGTACAGGTCCACTAAAGCTAGGCAAGCAGACTATGGTGCTGGGCTAAACTCAGTGCTCTGAGGATTCCTTATGTAACAGGAAGATTTTTTTGTTTATGTAGATAAACAAAAAAACATGGTTTTGTTTATAAGATCATGTGCCCTAATCAGAGCCTGTAAAGCTTATGATGGAGGCCTTATGGCTTGCTATATCATCTGTTTTCATTGGAGTATTCTGAGAACAGTCAGATTGGAGGATACTGCTCAGCCCTGGTTCATTTTGTCCATCTTTCCTTTGAATTGTCGGAGTTGAAATGCCCATCGTTTCTACCTGCCCTGCTGGCAGGTGATGCTGGGGCTCAACCAAAAGTAGCCTGGATTGTCCTGAGTGATTACTGAGACTGAGCAGCAGCCAGATAAGGTGTCAAATGCTGGAGCCTACTTACATTGCAGGTAAAGACATCCTGGTACAAACGCCTTGAACAAACCCTCTGAAGCATATGGCATCTCGGTATTTCCTTCCAGGAGTGCCAGCTGTTTTGCTCTAGAGCAATATACTCAGCATGAACTGGGTTGTCATCTCAAGATTGTGGATAAGCTGGTTTAGATATGCTCTGCCTGGCTGTGCAGCAGTGAAACAAGAATTCGGAGAAGGCAAGGATATGCAAATCCTGGCAGCCTTGGGGATCACTGACAAAGTCCCAGTGTGATCAAAGTGTTGCCCATTGTGTCTTTACACCATTTGTACCTCTGTACTTTGGGGTTAAATCCATCAGGCAGTTAGGAGAACTGTAAAATAAGCATGACGGTGAAATTGGGCTCAAATGTGTGATCAGCACTCGTGAGTTAATTAAACTTACTGAGTTCAGTGACATTTTATAATATATCCTTCTAATTACTCTGTATACAACACATTGTGAATTTTGAAGAACTAGAAATTTGGTCCGAAATACCAAAAATAAACTTATAGGAAATGCTTGAGTTGCATTTTTCATTCCTGAAATATGTAACCTCTGTGACTAATGGTTTTATTACATTTTTCAGGCTTTTTTGCTGAATAAGAAAAATGCTTAACTTTTAAAACACTAATTTTTTTGGTACATTAATGATACAGGTGGACAGCTGTTCTGAGACACAGCCTAAATGTATTCATGCTTGTTTCTGAGTAGCATAAATGTATATGGATCAAATCTAATACTATGTATAAGAGAAACAAATTATATAAATAATTAATTGCATGTCAAAGGCCTTTATTTTTGGTAGAATAAGTAACTTTCCACTATTACTAGAAGGAGTAGATGTTATTAACTCCCAACAGTGCCAGTATTTCCCAAGATCATCTGTCTAACAGAGGAAGAGAAAAGGTTTCTGGATGTAAGTCTAAATTTATTTTTCAGCTGCAGTAAATGCTCTTAGTGTGATTTTTCTTTATGCTACGCTGTGACGCTTGGCTCTGGTTTGCAGAGTTTGAATCTCAACTCTTTCATTGCAGTAGAGGCTGAAGGTGAAAAAATGAGAATATGGTACTTGAAATAAAGTGTTGTTTCTAACAGACCAGTGAACATTGTCTCTTTATACAGGAATAGTGTTTAAACCTCCGGTGAGTTTACTGCATAGCTTGATGACATAGTTTCTCGCTTGAGAAGGCAATGCGCCCATCTAATTTTTAGGGTGGTTAGTGAGGAGAACATTTAACTTTCTGTGGTTTGGAGCCGTTGTCTCTGTGATCCAGTGACATGGTGTCAAATGGTATTAGGACTTCGATTCAATAACGCAGAAAATAGGATGGCATATAAACAGGTGATACGATTGCCTTGTACAGTAAGAAGTACTAAAAATATTTCTTGTAATCTAACCATTGCTTGGCATGACCTTGCTCTGACACCGTGACTCAATGACACAATCTTACCCTCAGGAGAAGTTGATTTTTAAAGCCTGTTATTAACATCCTCTGGGTAAAACAAGCGACTGGAGAAGAAATGGAGTCATTTGTAGTTGTTTATTTATTTTTTTTCCTAACACTTCTCTGCCTTCTGATTCTTCCTAGTGCCTGGAGCCCTGCAAAGAGTCCTGGGACCTGAAGAAAAACCACTGCCAAAGCTTCTGTGAGGTATGTCAGCCTAAGGGCACTCTTTCTCACTTTGTTCTAGCTGTCTCTTTCATTTAAATTATTAGCTTCAAGGAGATAGCTAACAAACATGGGATTTTTACAGCATTCACTTTCATTTGAATGGATAAACATATAACACTTCAGCCATATTAAGTTTGAGGTTTTTTTAAAAAGGGGCTTTTTTTCTGACCAAATGATTAACCTCAACTTGAAGTTTTAAGACTTGATCCAGCTGCATTTATGTGGCTTCTCTTCCTCCTTTAAGTTGCTATTTCTACCACATGCCCTTCAATCTTTGCTGGCCATGTGTAAGAAAGAGTAGCTTTGTTTAAAAGATAAAATGACATTGTCTGAAAATCCCTGTGCAGGGTAACTAGAAAAGATGTCTTTCCTGTATATGAAAGCCAGTCTGATTTCTAAAAGAATGTATCTCCAGGAGTAACTGGATTGTGGAGTCTTGGATCAGAAGACAGCTATCAAAATATGTACTTATTCAGGTACTCGTTTTTGGAAAAGTGGTTCTGAATCATGGTTCAGAATAACCTTGTGAATAAGCAAATCTAGATCAGCTAAACTAGTACGAAAAAGAGGATGGTTTTATTGGATTTAAATCATGGCTCCTACTGAGTTGTTGGAAGTAAATTGTTACAGTTCTTATGTGGTTTTTAGTACAAAATGGAAATATCATCTAATAGATAGTTGCTTTATTATGACTAAATCAATATAAAGATACACCTCTATTCAAGTCTATGAAAGTGCATTTTTATGAAGATTTTAAACGTTTAATATAAAAAAATAGAAGTGACTTTAATTGATACTGATCTCAGTGACATACTGATTTAACTCCTCCCTCAAAAGTGTAGGAACTCTTTTTCTGGTACAAGAGCTTGTCTGGTGTTTAAACGAATTTAAGCGTTATTAAGATGATTAGGAAAAGCTGTAATTTCAACTAAAAAAAAAATAGATCCAACCATGTGTAAATAGGGATTATTGGGTTACTGATCTATATAGTTACATTAGAAAAAAAAGTACAGATTTCTCATGAAAACCAATCCTTGTAAAAGTTCTTTAGCCCAGATTAATTGCTGCTTCCTTATATACAAAACTTGAAGGTAGTTTATAAAGCAGTTATAATGGATCAAATTTATGTAATTCTTGTATATCACTTCTCACTCAGGCTGTATGTTTCCAGATATGGGTGAAAATATGTTTAAAAGGAGAACATTTGTAGAACACTATTCTATTGTAGTTAAAAACAGTGAGCATCCCTCTTTGATTAGTGTTTTGTGGTTGAAGCTAAATTTAGAACTTCAAAGGCCTGTAATGAATTGCAGCACATTTAGCAGCTAACTGAAAAATGAGCTGTGAAATAGGGTGAGGAGGAGAAGCCTTGGGGATGTATTATGCCTCGGGGAGCTATAAAGTTTTTAATTAAGTAGCTGCAAATTTGTGATGTTTTAGGATTTGAAATTAGCTTCACTCACACACACACAAGCACAGGAGGACCTTCTCTCAGACTCATGTATGCTCCATAGACATTGTTTAATTGAATTAAACAAAGTTGTTTTCCTTTGAGAATGTTTTCAATCTTTTTGTATTTTGTAAAAAATCTGGAGGCAACAATTTAGCTTTGTGTTTCTCAAGCTTCCTGCTTGGTATGTTACTTCTTATCTACTGAGTGAGTATATTAAAGTTAAAGGAACTTTGCGTGTGAAGAAGAAAAGGAGACAGTTTACTTGACTCTTTTTTTTCCATAAGTTCAGTTTCCTGCTGCTTTAGCTTCTTAATTGTCTAACCATGGGATCAGGTGCATTCCAATGGGGGCAACAGTAGGATTGTGCATCTAAGGATCACTGGGGTCAGTAGGAGAAATAAGGACTGCTCATTTTGGCAGCCTTTAGGCTGGTTGAGCCGTAACACCCAAATGCATCCTAACAGCCTAATTCAAAAATTCTGGACAGTTCTGTGGTACAAAGTGGAAGAGGCAACTTAGTGACACATTCTTGGACCACAGTGACTTTGGAGAATAAACTGTCACATAGTCTGTGAAACACCTGGGCTTCCTTAATAGCGAAGAGTCTTTCTCATTTTGCCAGAAATCTGAGAACAGTAAAAGTAAGAAAGTAAAACATTTGAATATGGAAGGAAGTTGCAGAAGTTACATGAATAATTGGATGGAGAGTGGATTATAATTCCTGTGTAAGTTTAGGAATCTGTAAATCAGATCTGTCAGAGTAGAAGGTTTTTGGTTGCTCTGAGATAGGTAGGCAGGCTGTAGGTAACCCCAGTTACATGGGTTGCCCACCTACAGTTCCACCAGTCACTTTGAGGGAATCACTTTAGCTGTTTTTGCACCAAACTAAATAGAGCACCAGATAAAAGAGACAAAATCCCTATGTCCCCATATTCTCCCCAGGGTCCTAGATTATATTTTTAATAGAGTTTTAAGTGAACCTTGCAAACCTCTGAGTAGTACTCATGCTGTAAAATGTCTGTGTGTTGAAGCAACCTCAATATATCTCGGGCTTGATTTCTCAGAGTAGCATTTGCTTTGATCTTTAATCAATATATTTAAGGCTTATTTTAATCTGTATTTTCTGCTGATCATTCTATCAGAAATTTAGTTCCAGTTCTGTGAAGAGTTAAACAACTACTAATATGCTGGCAAGAACATAAAGATGCTGCAAAATCTTCTCTTAGCCAACTCAGTTCAAACAATATAATGAAACAAGATTTCACTTATTTATCTAGAGTGGCATTACATCAGATATTGTGGGTAAAGTATTATGAAGTGCTAAGAGAGGAATGTGGGGTAGTAAAAAAAAAAAAAGAAAAAAAAGAAAGACTATCTGACTGTTGCTTCCCCTTTGTTTTGGGAATGTTTTTAATCTGTCAGTGAGCAACTTTGTCGCCAACCAATGTGAGGAAAACAAGGGAAAGCTGGCAGATATAAACAACTTTATTCCATTAAAGATGGTGGTCTTACTTGAGGGAATTCATCATTCTGTGCTTGGAATGCTTTTTTAGAAGTGGCCTGAATATATAAACCTTTAGGGATAGTCTTGCAAAAAATGAAGATCTGAATTTTCCTTTAGCAGTTCTTGGAAAACATACAATTATTTTGTTTGTTTGTTTCCTATTGAAAACTGTACAGTTCTTTTCTTTTCCCTTTAGCCTCTTTTCCCCAAGAAGAATTATGAATGCCTAACTAGCTGTGAATTCCTTAAATACATCCTGTCTGTGAAGCAAGGGGACTGCCCAGCACCTGAGAAGGCCAGTGGCTTTGCAGCTGCCTGTGTTGAAAGCTGTGAAGCTGATAGTGAATGTTCTGGAGTGAAGAAATGCTGTTCCAATGGATGTGGTCATACGTGCCAAGTCCCAAAAAATCTGTACAAAGGTAGGGGTTATTAATACGTACTCATACTGGGCTAATAACTTCAGGCCATAATAAAGTCTCCTAGAAAACCAGGACTTTCATAGGAGTTTGTATGGATGGGAAGAAAAAGGAGACGTGCCTGTAGAGATGTGGCTGGACACTGAAAGGTTGGAAAGCCAAAGAAAAATGTTGCTCAAGTTTCTGAATTTTTTTCCCCTTGTGAAGCCCATGTCTGGAAATCTGCGGAATGTAAACATGTGGTTATTATGAATCATCTTAAGCAAAACAAACTTTCCAATTTAGGTAAAATCTCACTTAATTTAATGCATATGAGAGACAATGCAGCAGGAAAATATTTAACAATAAACAGTTCAAGTCCTATTAATCACAAATAACATTTATGTTATAAACCAAGCAGGTAGGACTACCAAACAGAAATTGTGACATAATCTGGTAAAAGAACAAATCAATGCAGTATATTTGTCATTGGTGTTCTTAATGACCTAAGAACAAAATGGTTAAAGATTATAATATCCACATATATATGTAAATTCATTATTAAGTCAATCCTTTTTTTTTTTTTTTTAATTTATTTGAGTCCTGAGATTCTGTGGAAAAAGGTTTTCCTTGGCATCCATTGTCAAGAACATATAAACTAAGAAATTATTTGATTAGACAAACTCCAAATTTTAGTTTTTTGGAATTAAAAAAGCTTTATACATGGAAAAATTCTGAAAATGTACTCCTAATGCAGAACAATGAGCATTTATGAAAAGCATTTTCTTGTTCCACAGAATTGGAATGTTTTGTTAGAAATCCATTCTCCTTACTTCAGTGATAAAAAATAAATATTAATCAGTTATTCTTCTGATAGTGTGGGCTCTCTGTGGAGAGCCTAATCAGCAGAACTCCAAACTAAGCTCCGGGCTTAGATCCCAATCCAGACTTATTTCCATCTGTGAATGGAAAAATGGTAAAATATGTGAAGGAGATGGTGATTTTATTTTTAAGTTCATTACTTTAATTGAAATGTTGATGCATCTTTTTGAATGTCCCTAGTGATGAGAATATATGTCAGGAAGCATTGTCTTGTTTACTTACATAAATGGAGCAAATTCAATCTAGAAGTCAGAGAGCTGAGTAAGCAGAAAACTGATGAAGATGGTACTCAGTGTTTTGAAGAGCAGGCAATATTGTGATCCAGATTTCCAGTGCAGAAGTTGCTTCCAAGAGACTTCAGAGCAGTCCCTTTAAAACTGTAAGGAATTAATAGAGTCTTATACACAGCACCCCTTTCAAAAATGAAAACTATTAAAATGAATTGCTTAGTTATTTCTTTTGTCTTCTTGAGTCAAATGACCAGAGTGACAAACTGGCATTTGTATTGCATATGTAATGATTTACATGATCAGGCTCTGTACTACAACCACAAAGCATTCCAGTAAATGTAACAGCTGGAAAGGCAAAATCAAAACACGTAAGCAAACAAGCAAATGAAATAAGACAACATGCTTTTGGACAGGACACAGGATATGACAGGATATGATACATTGTATAACTGCACACGGGAAAGTCTACTGCTGTTCAGCCTTATGATATAGGAACAGAACTAACCTTCTCCAGCATCTTATCACCTATCTGCAGGAGGTGCTTGCTTGTGAAAGCATATATGCCTTGCAGAGGAAGGGCAAGCCCAATAGTGTACTGCCTTCTCAGCTGATGAATTCAGCTAATTAGCCTCTTCAACCTGTCTTTCTGCCACAAAGGACAAATAGAAGTGGAGAAGGCTTGCTATTCATTTCCTCCAGGGGTAAATGACCTTCCTGTCACTAAGGAAGAGCAAACTCTGCAAGCATAACTAAGATCTAGTGAATAAGTTGAGTACTTACTCTTATAATTTAGAAAGCACTCACAGCTAGAAAATGAACTCAGAGTGAATCTACAGAAGTTGCTATAGTTTTGGTGTTGATCAAGCTCTGGAGGTTAGTTACAACAGCAGATATAAAATGCCCATTTGATTTGCTAGATTTACAAACTGGAGTTGCCCTCTAGTACTACGTGCTAAAGCCCAGTCCTAAAAGAATATTAATGTAAGTACACTTGCACCAAAGTCATATACTGCAGATGTTATTGGATTAACATAACAAGTCCAGTCACTTGTAATCCTAATTGTTTATTGGTTTACATTTGCTATAATCTTCAAACTGTCCATTATTGCATTTTTTAATTTTTGTTGGGAGTATTACTAATTAGTTACATAGTCTTCACATTTTTATTTCCCTATACTGGAGATATCAAATGTTCTCTCTTCTATCAAATGGCCTACTCTTCTGTCATCTGCCTCATCCACCTCCTTTACATCGTCTCAACAAGTGAAGAACTTCAGAAAGGGTCCCTTCTCCATGGCCTACCTCTTTTTTTTTTTTTTCTCTATATGGACATAATGAAGTTATAAATAACAGTAAGTGCCTAAAGTAGATTTGGTACTTCAGAGATAGAAATGGGGGCAATATCTCTGCTTAGAAGTGAAACAGTTTCAAATTTCTGAAAAAAAGGAAGGAAGAGAAAGGGATGGAAAATGCTTGATCAGGTTCGCTTTGTCTAACATGCACATATGCATCCCCAAGTAAAGACAAGGACATGTATCTTCTTCTACATTCAGCTGGTGTCAGCTGAAAAAAATATCCATCAACTTTTTTCTATTCAGAAGTTAGTGGTCTCTGAGAAGTGATGATACACCTACTTGTGTGAACTTTCCAGGAACTCTTATTAACAAAGATTTAGGGTTTGTGCTGTCTAAACCAGCCTAACTAATTTTGTTTGAAATGTGTATGGGAGCAATCCATGCAGCAGACCAAACTGCAGATCTGGGCAAGGTAAACTTTGAAGAGAAGATGATGACATTTAAAGGGTATGTTGGTATGACAATGTCATAAGAGGATGGCTGGAGCCAGATGGTCACCCACAGTTTAAAGGCTCTTTTCATGCTTAAAGAAAAATAGTTTTGTGTTAAAAAAAAATAGTGTACAGTTTTAAAGATGTGTATCTCTGAGTCTTCGAACAACTGTGTTAACAGTCATACTGACTTCATGAGTGTACCTTTTATTGTCCAAAACCCTTCCATGGAAACTTTTGAATTCCTGGAGAACTGACATTTAAGTTACAAATTCTTATGAAGGACCACCATGCATTTATTTTTCATGGCATGGAGATGCATGTGTCATCTGAAAGACACCTTTAGAAACATTTTTCCTGGGCTCTGGTATTGCACACATACAACAACCAGTGATTTGAATTCTTTAGTTAAGCATTGCAGACTTCAGAGGACTAATTTGTTCCAGCATGATGAAAGGGCTGACCATTTACATAATAAAAAGCACATTGAAGAGTGATTGGATCTACACATCTGGATATGCAATTGATGGTGCTGGTTCTACAAAAGTATTTTAAAATGCACTTGTTCTGTGCTCTTGTTGTTTGTGCTGCTGCGCTCCATCTGCACGCAATTACATAACACCGGAGAGGCTGAGATACTTGCAATCAAGTGAATCCAACTGCCCCTAATGCAAAACAGATGGAAGTTTTCTTAGCATGCAAATTGTAGCATTATTGTACATCATAATTAAAGAAGAATTTTCAAATGTGGAAATCTGAACTGACATGTTCTGTGGTGTTTTTTTTATTAAACTAAGACTGCAGGCTGTTGCAGAATATCATAGACCCACAGAATGGTTAATGTTGGAAGGGACCTTAAAGACCATCTAGTTCCAACCCCCCTGCCATGGCCGGGTCACCTTCCACTAGATCAGGCTGTTCAAAGCCTCATCCAACCTGGCCTTGAACACTTCTAGGGAGGGGGCATCCACAACTTCTCTGGGCAACCTATATATCCAGGGTTTAAACTGCTGTGATAACCAGATTCAGGTACTGGATTTTCCTCAGGTTGATTTTAGGTTTCTTCAAGGGTTACAGTATCAATTTTTATTTGGACTGGTCTTACATGGATGCCCACTGAAATAAGAAAATAACTATAATGCATATGATAACTTGCTAAGAAGGTTTCTATATGTCAGCATAGAAATCTTATTTGTGACATATTCTGAAGTGACAAAATGCTGCGTTCTCAAATATATCAGTTCCTAAAGTCTGTCTAGAGAAATGTATCTTAACACTTGATTTGTTGATTTAATCAAAAGATAACAAATTTGAAGAGATGTTTTTTTCCTTCAGGCTAATGCAGATGTTTTCAAAAAGGTGGTGTTAACAGCAGTAGAAACAACAGAAATAACTGTCCTTCAGTGTCACTATTTAATGAGAAATTACTGTAAAATTTTAGAAAGACATCTAGAAAACATTTATCTCTTAAATGTAACAATTGGACAATATACATCAGATATATCTATTCCAAGATGCCTTGGAATTACCTTTCCTAGATCTTTAGGGATGAGTGGAGAGCGACACATCCTACAGTACAGCTGCATGTGAGTCAATAAGATCATGCTGCTGTGGAAAAGTCAAACAGCTTTCTTAAGTATGTCAGACTAATGTAAGATGTGTGAAATAATTCCGCAGTCTACGCTGGTAAAAGCTTAGACACAGTCTGTGTCCAGTTTTAGGCCTGACTGTGGAGAAAGGATGTGGTCCAATGGAAGAGTTTCCAGAGACAGCTACAAGAATGATCAGAGGTTGAGAAACACTGATTTAGAAGGAAAATGGAGTACACTGTGGTTATTAGACTGAAGAAGAAAACATTGAGAGGCATGATAACAGTCTTGTGGTACAACATCATAGACAAGTATTAAAATGCAGTGGAGGACACTAAACAAGGGAGTGCGAAAGCTTTCTAATGGTAAGGATGGAGAAGTAGTAGAATGGATTACTATGTGATGCTATGTGAATATTCTGTCATTGGGTGGGTTTAAGTACAAATTAGGTGAAAAACTGAACAACAGGTATAGCTGATTCTGCTTGGGATCAAAGGGATCTTTCTTCAGGTTTTCAAAGCATGTTTGGAAAATGTTTTCTGTGAGGTTAGTTTTAGTTTACGACTTTCGAATCCTTTAGATTTTAAATGAAATAAATAATTTTGAAGATTTTTTAAAAGCAAATTTTACTGTTAGCAGAGATAGGTCAGCTATGAGCACTTCTGAAACTCCCTTGCTCATTCCCCTCTTTTTTCCTTCTGTCTGACCAGCAATCTCCTTTTTTAAAAATTATTTTTGTATACAGCTTCATCTACATATTATTTAATTGTCTCTTAAATTACTCACATATTTTTGTCTGTGCATTTCTATTACAGGTGTTCCACTGAAACCCCGGAAAGAATTAAAATTCATAGAACTTCAGTCTGGAGACCTGGAGGTGAAGTGGTCTTCAAAATTCAATATTTCCATTGAGCCTGTGATTTATGTTCTTCAGAGGAGGTGGAATCAAGGAATCCATCCAAGTGAGGATGATGCTACTAACTGGCAAACTGTGGCACAGGTCGGTTCTTTGCAAAACAACATTTATCCCTAGCTTCCAGACCTTGATCTAAAGGTCCTCTTCAGATCAGAGAAGAGTTAGATCACTGACAGGTGGGGAGGCTCATCCAGAGAGATCCCTTATAGGATCTCTCTCCAGGTCGTGACAGAGCTGCGAACAGAATCCAGATCTCCAAGGCCTTACTTCATTGCTCAATGAACTGTTTCCTAGATTTACTCGGGAGAAATGAACTTCAGTATTTTTGCTTCCAGTTTTGCAGTTATAGCAACATCAAATGCTTTTGGTATATATTGAAAACAACTTCATAAAAAATGTGTGAATATATCAGTAAAGAAGTAAATAGTGATTTCCTTGTCATCAGAAGAAAAAATACTGAGGTTTGTTTTCAAAATGAGTTTATTTTGTGGGTTTGCTCTATAGATAAAAATCTATAGAACTGTCTGGAGGCTTGATTTTCATAAGGCTAGTGAGTGGCACTTTCTTGTAAGCACATACTTATCTATTCAGATGGGAGTTCCAGAAGTCTCTGAAAGCCACAAATCTCTTAAAAATGTAGAATTAGATACCAAAATCCATTGAAGGAAGCACATAAGAGACACAGTCCTTTTGAGGTCAGTGGGCCTCAGTGCAGAGTCTCCAAGGAGTGACTGGTCTTATGAAAAAGATGAGAAATCCAATTGGTGAAAAGACCATTTAATTTTTTTTTTATAAAACAAAGAGTGCAAAATGACTAAAACATTTATTCTTTGTAGAGTTGTTTTTTTCAAATGTTACCCTTCCTACTCAGAAAAGACTGTGATGTCATGCTCTTATCACTCAGTGCAATCCAGACTGAAAATGTAAGATTCATGAGCAAATGTTTCTTAATGAGAAGCAGCCAACAGAGCATAAATTTTCACTTAGTTCCTTCCTAGTTTCAATCTGTTTTTTAACATGCTGACAGTCCACCTGGATGGCAGAGTTCCAATCATTTATCTTAACTGCTTCACCCTCATCCCTGCTGACAAGAAAAGTAAAATGCTGATTTTGAAAAGACCTGCAAAATGTCGTTATAGCTAGGAAAAAAAGGACAGAGAGAATAAATAGAACCATCCACAAAATAAAGTAAGGAGTTTAAATTCTGTAACAATCTGTGTTCATTCTCAATTCAGACTGTGTAGGAAAACGCTATCTTAAAATCAAGTCAAGCGTGTGAAACTCAACACTCATAAGTGAAGTTCTTAGCTTCAGTGTTGTGCTATAGAGAGCTGTCACTATGTTAAGAGTCTTGATCAGAAAAAATGTCCTGCAGCAGAGCCTGACATGAAACCCTGCTTGTGCAAGCCCAAGGGAACGTGCACACCTCCGAACCTGATAAAGTTGCAGTGACTTACTTGTTATTTCTCAGCTGAGGTGCAGATCTTCAGTCTGCATTCCCCATATTCAGCAAACAACCTCCTGCCTTTGCTACTGGCAGAATACCATCTGAATTACTCCTCACTGTTACCATGCCCTGTTACGTGCTAGACTGTAGAAGCCCAACTTTTCTGGCTGGTGGATCCAGACTGCAAAAGTAGCACACTGCTGTGCTTTTTCTCATCCCAGAAATAGACCTCATGCACATTTCTGGAAGCACACAGTATATGTGCTCCACTAGCATATACAGACCTCTGCCTTCTTGCAGTGGCTGTACAGGAGACTGTTTCAGAAACATGTTCCCAAGCAAGAGTGATAGGAACCCTGACAGCTGCATTTCCTGGGGGTCTGTTACACGCGGGCAGAAGGAGCTGAGTTAATCTCTATGGCAGGGGAAGCCTTCTTCGAGAACTTTGCTGTCCCTTCTGCATCACAACAAATGTGTGTTCGATTGTGTGATGGAGCCCATTGGGGATGTCAGTTCAGAACAAGCTTCAGGATGCCTGACTGGCTTTGTAAACTGTGTATACCTTATGGCACATAAAGGCTGGGCACCCTTGAGGGGTGGTAGTAATCAGAATTTCTGTCTTTATAGAGTAATGTACCTCCATGTTGTTTGTAGTTTTAGGCATCCCACCAGGCAGTCAAATTTGTTCAGTGTGGCTGCATGCAATAGAATTTATTTTGCAAGATCAGCAACAAAGATGGATATCCAGTTTGAATAAAGTGACTGTGTGCACAGCCTCTGGGCTTTTCTTGCCCATATAACTGAGTTTTTTTCTTGTATGATTCCAAAACGTTGGGGGATAAGACCTTAATTATAGGCAAAGGCTGCGAAGAGCTCAGCCGTTTGGCTGAGAACTCCTGAGGCATCTCAGTCCAGGGGAGATGATGCTGGCTCTTTTATTACTCTGCAACTTAAGCTAGAGAGCATGTAAAAAGCAGTTGAAGATCAAAAAGGTTGTGGGTAAGGATCTGAATTTCTCTGTGCATATGACTATATGAAGTGTAATTATGCAAAGTTATTTTTTGCTTTTTCTTCTTATAAGAAAATTCATAATATTTTATCAGAGTTCCTCATCCAATATCATATTTTTATTATCTGCCCAAGAAGAAATGGGGTTATAATTTTCATTAACTTTATTTGAAGATGTATACCTTTTAGAAACACTTGCTATTTTCTATTGCCTTTACATGAGCTCGTTTGCAAGTAATTTATCACATCTCACATAAATTTTTACTTGGTATTGAAAAAATAATTTTGAAAAAGTTTGTTTCCTTTATATTGTATTGTGTCATCAGGTCTTTTTTGATGTTTTCTTTTTGAGGAGGAAGGCTCAATCTATTAATATGTTATTTGTTTAACTCTCCAAGTATATAAAGAAGTCAAACACATTGAAAACAATTTTAGTTATTTTTCACTTCAAGTAGAAGGGATTTTGTTAACTTTATTTTTTTACTGCACATTTTTGGGGAAATTTGCCATAACTAACTATTTGACTAATTTCCATTGGTTAATATAAAAACTATGGGAGCTAAGACACTAGTTAGCCTAGTTAGCTGTGATGTACGGTGTTCTAAGTGGTTATGCCAAGTTTCTTACACTGCTGTTTTTTAAGGTTTAACCAGCTGAGTAGGACCTGCTGCACTATCCCATGAAAATACTGTATATTTTGTGAACAAACTTATAATTCTATTTGGTGCTAATGCTTTCTAAAAATAATAGTATTACTTTTTACATTGGAAACTTAGATAGTTAATTGCATTAAGTTAATAAAAAGTTAATTCAGATATGCCAGGTCAGATATTTTTAGACAGAACACATCTGTGTTGTGTGAATGGATGTCAAAACAAATAAGAAGCTCTATTTACTACTAGCTTGATTGTGATAAACCTTAATGCTTCACCTTGGAATTGTCTGAACTATGTGGACAACTAATACTTTTTTAAATCTTGAAGTTTCTAAGACACCTAAAGTTCTGATTCTGAGGATTGCAAAAAGTTTCTCAGCTCTTGGCAGCAAGAAATTGCTGTACAGTAAAAGTTTATTTCTCCATCTCCCAGGAGAGGGCTTGCTTTGGTAGGCATTCTTAGAGAGTGCTCTCCTTGTGTGGGATTGCATTAACTCAAAACAGAGTAAGTCCACTGTCCTTTGATAGAGTAGTGGATGCAGCACTGTCAGGTTTCTTCTGTGTCAGAAGAAATATATATTTAGCTCTTCTGATACCCAGGATGGTATCCCTTCACTCTCTGAACTGCCAATTCCTTTATCAACGTGCATTGTTTCAAAAGAAGGTGTAGAGCTATGAGCTGAGCAGCGTAAGGCTGTCCTCTCCTATTTCCATTAAACCTTTGCACTACAGAAAGGAATCCAGGATTGATAGTGTGAATGAAAGGGAATGAACACAGTGAAACAGTCCATTGATTACTGTAATACTACTCAGCATACATTGGGCTTACATTAATATAAGACAGATACTGAAAGGACTCTGAATATTACGATCTCAGCTCCAAACATACTTAAGTAGTGAGAACTAACTGAAGCAATTAAACAAACAAAAAAATCAATTTACCATTAAGGTCATATAAGATATCTCAGTAGCATTTAGCTCTTTCTTGAAATTTATTAAATCTCTGTAAAGGTTGCTTAGAGGTGCCAAAGTAGTTTATACTCTATAATGCAGGAGTTACACCTCCTGCATGTCATTGAGCTTGACAGCTTTGCCAACAAAATGAATGATGAAAGTAATAGGCCAAAGGCATGTTCATAAATTAAAATAATTTTGGTGATATGGATTGACAGATTATTTGATCTTATTGTATTTCACGGTTGCCACAGAAGACTGACACAACTGCAATTCTTTCAATCAGTCCTAGCAGAATAACTGAGTTGATGCAAATGGCAAACAAGATTCCTTAGCTGAGGAATTTGGGGTCAAGTCTATTCAGATTATACTTGCCTTGTAACTAAATTCAGCAAATCTGTTTTCAAAACCTGCAGTGTTGTAACTAGTTAATTAGAATTAGATATTGATCCTGATCCTGATCTCTGTTGCAGCAGTAGCCTGAGTATATCCTTGGTTTTTTTTCTGTTAATATATTGATAGTTTATTTTACTCTAGTTCACTGTTGTGTCTTATCTGTAAGTTCTTGAGTATATGGGCCAGCATGCTGGAAAAAGTTAGCACATTTGAGTGCTCCGTAAAATTAAAATAGTATTAGAAGTTGGTTCAGGTAGGCTTTTTCTTCCCTAAGGGAACCCCTTCATTGGATGAGATAATTCAGTCTTCAGGTAACATAAAAGCTAAAAAAAAGAAAACAGGGTGAGGCAGACAATTAAAGTATTAGGACTATTACACCTGCTTAAACTAAAAAGGCAAATACAACAGTATAAATGGAGGAGGACTCTAAGTAGCAGAAATATTTGAGGCACTTAACATCTGCAACACTTACCAGTCTGAGAACAGTCTATGATGTAATTTGTAAAAGCTGTCTTTCCTTTATGTGCACACACAAATGGCAAATGTGTGTGCACATAAAGGATGTGCGTCTCCCTAAATTTTGCTTGTCACCAGATGAAGAGATTAAGTACAGGACAGACAACACCTCCAAATTTTATTGGTCAGGGCTCTAAAAATACCATTACTGTAGAGCTGAAGCAACTTCCCCAGGTTCTGGCTAGCTGAGTTAGCTCAGCAGCTGCCACTTTCTTACACAGATTAGAAAGAGCAAAAAGCAGAAATGATACTGTGCCTTTTCTGGGAAGTGCTTGGCATCATTGCAGGTAACATTGAATCCTGTACAAGGAAGGTGGTTTTTTCAAGTTACAAAACAGAGCTTGTGAAAATAAATTGATGTCACTACATTTTTAATGAGCTTGCATGTTTGGTCAGTAATGATAAACAGTAATTCAGTAATGGTTTATTTAGACATATACAGAACATTTGGTTCAGTTTATTGTGTTATTTTGATTAAAGAATTAAATTAAAATGCAATAAACATGATGTCCTAGAATAAAAACTAGATAATTGAGAGGTAATTGAAAAAGTAAAATCTGCAACAAGTAGATGAATTTCTGATGAGTTCATATTCTTTACTTGGCAGTGATGCAGGGGTTACCAGCAAGTTGAATTCAGTTCTGGTGTTTGTACCTTAGGAAAAATAAGAAACAGTGCAGAAGATAGCTCTTTAAAACTTTAAAGGAAAAAAAAAAGATAGAGGAAAGCAGGGCTCGGAACAAGAGCATGTAAAGCACCTCCTACTGAAAAGGTTCAGAGCGCATCTATGCTTATTCCATATTTCAGCAGTTAAGGCACTCCCCACAGAAGATGGAAATTGAACTCATGACACTAGCAGTCTCAGTGGGTGTTGTTGGAGGAAAGGTCATCTCCTATGACCTGAGAAAGGTCTGCAGGGAAGAGTTAAGGCTGTGAGTGTCTTTTTGACATAAGTGCCAAAGATCTGAAGAAGGCTTACATTCATTACCTGAGGGTTTCATGTTTCCTATGAACCAGAAAAGGCAGCTTCTTGCAGCACTGGATTTTGTGAAGCCGTTTTGGACCCCTAATTCTCTGAGAATTGGAGAAATAAGTCCTGTGACCTGGGGCAATGAGTTCCCTGAAACATCAATACCTGAACAGCTATGCCTTATACACTGGTGAAGGTTGTGATAACTGGAAAACTAATTTTGTGAATTTAACACTTCACCAGTTTTCTAAAGGTTACTTTTTTCCAGAAGAGACCTGCAATGCACTGTAAAATTGGGTGGTTATATGATTTTGTTCACAACTGAAAATGCTTCGCGGTGCAGAATGATGCTTGGAGTCAGGTGAGGTGCATATGAAAGAAGTGCATCCCCTACTCTTCAGTCTGACTAACAGGTGTTGCATGGGAGATGGTAGCACAACTAGCCATGTCAGAACAAGAAAGTAAGCATGACATTTTCCCCACCAGACTACGGATGAGCGGGTTCGGCTGCCGGACATCCGAGCGAGCAGGTGGTACCAGTTCCGCGTGGCAGCTGTGAATGTGCATGGGACGAGAGGCTTCACAGCACCCAGCAAGCACTTCCGATCCTCAAAAGGTTAGTTTTCATTTGCTAAGTCTGTTGCTCACCTTCCACTCACTCACACATGGAGCGTAACCTGATCTGCCTAATTTTGTGGCAGAAGGGTTTTAACAGGTGGGTTTTTGGGTAGTTTTGCCACTGGCTTTAGAAATGGTGTGAGTTTTGTTTGAAATCAGCAGAGGAATTAAAGGTTAAAGATGTCATTATTCTTTTATCAGTAAGGGATCTCAATGAATAAACCTCCTTTTAAACATTTTCCGCACGGTCAGTGTCAAACAACGTGATCCTGACCATGGAACATAAAGGAACTGGGGTTTCAGTGTGTTATTCCAGGAGATTTCTCTTATTTTTCTTTTCAGTTATGAGAAATATGTTACTGCCATATCTTTAGCAGAGTATTTAAATATTTAGTTGCCTGTATCTAAATAATTGTAGCAGCATTATTTCGATGGAACTGCAGGCTCTTTTAATACAACTTTCCCCTTACTAGCACTAGTCATAAGAGCTTAAGAATAAAAAGGGTATAATTGCTAAGTAGCATACTTCTGTTCATTAGAAAGGCATGCTGGACAATCCCCAAAGTATTGTAGGAATTTTTGTTGCCATTTCTAGTTTTGCAAGGGTTTGGCTAATGAAATAATTTTGAATATTATTTCTGTACCAGTAATAATTGGGGGATGGGGAAAATGGAAGCAGATCTCCTATCCTGTGAAGTTGCTGGCATTGTCCCTGGTGTGCCTTTGGCCCATGCAAAACAAAATTTTCCCAGATGACTCTCAGGCATAGGAGTTGGCACAGGCCAGAAACTATTCCCGACAGACAGGTGGTTTGGATGTGGTCACCCTGTCTTAAAGGCAGTTTATAATGTGGGCATAGCCAGGCCATGCTAGTTGACTTCTGTGCCAAAGAATGAGATCTATCACTCTTCACTCTACTAATAGAGGTAGTTTTTGTAGTGACAGAATCTTTACACTGGTGTAATGCATACTTCGAGGAATGTATTTCCTCCTCTTTCTCTAGATAAAGTTATCTTGTAATACAGGCAGTTGCCATCTGTAGGTTCCCGTGCTAGCTTTTAGCTTGCTGTTTGGCCATAGTCAGTCTTAGAAAAAAGTCTTATTGTAGATGCAGTTATAGAGGCATGTAGGTGCTTTTGCTGGTATGGATGGTTTAATTACTGAATATATGTATATATAAACACACACACACACATTAGACTCCATAATTTTTTGGTGCTATAAGTACATTTGTTGTAGGAAAGTTGACTGGCATAGCTATCCCATTACCGCTGTGACCACAAACCTTTTCAAGTATAAAAGAAGTATTATTTTAAGAATTTATTATACTTAAGTAGCATATCATTTCAGTCACATCAAAAACACAGTTCCTTCAAGTGGTGTTGAGCTTACTACAAGGACTCAGCAGGAGCAATAGCTTTCTCTGCTTTTCTTCATGAACAGCATCAGCAGATACAGCGCTGTGTTGCTGAATCTAGGACCAAATTTCCTTTAAACTCAGATCATTGTCAGTTGTTTTTCTGAGTTCATAAACATTTTCCAACTATTCTGCTTGGAACCACTATAATTGCAGTTACATAAAGGTATATCATGATACCATTGAGGTTTTGGCTTGAGCATGACATTTTCAGGCAGGATTTGTATTACTTTCCAAAAAATTCATCTCCTACTGAGTGTGCTAGCCACAGGAGGATATTGTTCAAAATACCTACATTGATAATGAATATAAGAACATCTATGGTAAGTTTACTGAAAGTCTCTTTAGCCCAGTATCTGACCTCAGCAAAAAGTGGGTTTTTGGCCGACAGCGGAAGAGCAGGATAAGCCCATAGGGATATTTCTTCAGAATAGCCTCCCAGTTGGCAGTGATTTGTGTTTCAGGAGTTCGTGGTTTTGAAATTATTACAAGTTAGATACCAGAGTCTTTTTTTTTTTCCTGTGGTCTCTGCAGCTACTCCTGAAGCACTTGATCTCCTTGAGTGCTGCTTACAGCTGTCTGGTGGAGATGGGGAGCATGTTTAGGACTTTGTGACAAGGATAGTGAGAGCCAATAATACCTCTGCATGCTCTTACTTAGTAAGCAGAAATAATGGGATCTTGTTAATGGCAGAATATGTAACCAGCGTTATTCAAAAGGTTTCTATAACCCTCCAAATAACAATTTTCAAATCTAAACTCCAGCCCTTGGTGGAGAATAATGAATTGCCAGACAAACAGCAAGGAGTTCAGTTAGCTATCAGTTTTGTAGCCAAAATCATCCTATTCTGGCAGCTCATTTGACTATTTTAGAGGCTTTGGTATTGTCAGTGGTCATTATAGAGATACCATGTTCGCTTGTTGAAATGTGTAGGAGTGCTAGGTGACACAGATGAAGATGCTTCTAGGTGGTGACTGTCCAGAATGACACTGGGATGCTTTAATCAGTATCTCAGTCTCCATGTCCCCCAGTAGGCACTCATAGTGGTAACAGTTATATAGTCATATAGACATTTAATTACTACTTTGGAACTCAGTGGGAAATGGCGTCCCCTGCCTGGCAGAGAGGCAAGAAACTGCTGCTCAGATGTGCCTAGTTTTTTGAGTACCAGCAACTACTGGCCCCTGCTGAGCTCCTACAGGCACATTTAACCTCCAGTTTGGAAAAGGAAAGCAGATTTTGGCACATCACCTTTGGAAGGTTGCTGACTGTCTGTGCTACATTTGTGTGAAGTGTGGTCAGAAATTCACATTAGTTCTTGCACTGTTTCAATTCGCCCTGTTGTGCCAAGACCAAGAGAAGATTATTATCTTCATCGGTCATAACAGAAATTTTCTTCAAAAAGAAGCCCTTTGATCAGGAAACATTACAGCAATTCCTAAGACAGTTTCTCACACAAGATGCTGAATTTTTACCAATTGCTCATAAGTTATAATGAATAGCAAATTATTTGGGTTTGTTTTTTCTTTAAAGGAGGACAAACATGATATATAATCTGAATCTAGGGAGGAGTATGGCACCACAAAGTCTCTGTCACTAAATATTTTAAGCTGTTAAAAAGAACATTCAAAAACATTGCTGCTGTAATTATTTGGAGAGAGAATTTTGTCTGGTTACCACAATACTGTTTTATACTATTTAGTACTTTTTGCAAATGCAAAAAATGTGATCTCTAAATAGACACAGTGAAGTAAGTTTTTGTTTTATTCAAAAAAATGTTAAATCTTCTGAGGTATGTAATGGCCATTGACTTTTCTAAATAAAATAAATAAATCTCCTTATTGTCCACATTAGTTTAATTTCCCAGTCATGAAAGAGGGAAAAACAGGAAAACAAGAGTATTCCATCAAGCCTTCCATCTTACCAGTCTTCATCTAGTTGTGTTTTGTGGTTTTATTTACTGCAGCTGTTGATGCTTTTATACTGTAAACATTTGAGGTGAAGGTTTATTAGCTGTTTTACACTGCCTCACGTGTTCATTTATGATATTAATTTGTAAATAAAAAATAATCAAAGTGACATAGCCGGGATAACTTATGAAATATTCAGACCTTAAGCAGAGAGGATTTTTTCTATGCTGTTTATTTCTGTTTATAATGAAGGGTTTGCATGCGCAAGTCTGGCATGGCCCTTCACAGGGAATAAAGTGATGCTTCATTTTGCCAAAATGACATTCCAAAATTACCAGAAACACATATCAGCCTGTACCTATCTGTTTGGAGCAGAGTGGCTAGAAGGTGAAGTGAATACTGAACCTAGGAGAGTGGGTTCCTTCCTAGAAGTAGGACTCTGCACATGGCTTTTCAGAATGATACTGCCAGCTAAAATTGATCAAAACTTTTTGCTATTTTGACAGTGATTTCCAGTTCACTTTTCAGGGATTTTAAATTATTTGAGCTTTCCTTTTTCTTTTCAACTGAGTGGCAACAATTTGCAATAACAGCAATAAATAAAGCTAACGGAATGCCTGGAAAAACCTTTTTGGTACCCAAAGGTACAAATATATTTCTCTTCATACTTTGACTGTCTCTCTCCAAGTTGCTTGATTTTTTTTTTTTGGAAGCAGGAGAGAACTGTTTCTGCAATCCATAAATGAGTCTCCTTGGATGAAAAGCTTTGTGTGCTTCCTTCCCATTAAGCTGGCACTGAATAGCCTAACCCGACTGGTCAGAAGCTGCTTGGCACCAGTAACACAGCTTTTAATTTGTTGCATTTGGGAAGAGTTTTTAGGCTATTTTTGTGTAGCTTTTTATGATTTATGATGAGAATGAACTCTTAGTAACAGAGACTGCAATCAACTAGAGGGATCTGTGTTGGGCATTTCCATATAATACATTATCTTGCTGGTCTGTAGTTAGGTAGTGTGCCATTTTTCAAGACAAAAAGAAGCTATAAGATGAACACAAAGCTCAAACCATTCGATCCTTCTATCTCTGCTAAAGGTTTTTATTTTCAACATGAAGGCAGTAGCAAGCGTACACAGGACAAATTGTCAAGCAAAAGCAAGCAGACAGCATTGTTTTCACAGCACATAAGTACCATGCTGGATGTGATTTCATGCATACATTACTGAGTGTTACTAAAACCAGAACAGACACCCACTCTTGGCAATAAAATTCTTTCTGTTGCTCCTTTGGGACCAATGATTTTTTTATACTGTTGCACAGCTGGTTTACATGTGCCATTTCCATTGGGCAAAGCCAGTCCTCCTGCTTATGCCTTGGAACTGTTTAATGGTTGAAAGCTTGTCTGTAGAACAGCTTCAGCAGATTTTTAGAGTTGAAAGGTCTAACGCTTAAAAGATAGCAATGGGAGATCCATTTTAAGTCAGAAAAAAGCCCTATTAAAAAGGTTTTCAGTTACGGTCAAACTTGCTATCAGTTTTATAGCTCAGAATGAGAGTTATGGTTCTAATGTAATTATTTTATTCTCTGACATATTCTAAATAATTTACTGTTTTCTTTACAATTGCCACTTTTAAAGCCAAAGTGGATGCATTGCAGTAGGGTGTGATGTGAGTCTTGTGTACAGCTTGCCCATACTGTTTTGTTAAGGCTGCAAAGTACTTCCAGATCCTACTGAATGAAATAATTTTGTAAAATATAAATAATCTATCAGTGTGTTTACAAATATGAATGTGGGAAGGTGTGCATTTTGAAATGGTGGTGATGTGAGGGTTTTCTTTTTTTATTTTATTTGCAGCAAGGAATCCTCCCTTTTGGGGACTGGAGACAGAATTTTGCTTGTGATGGCTGAGTAGCCAGCAAGACAAGAATTTAAGTCCTTTGGGTATACTCAAGCCAGATAGAATCCAGACAAATGCAGTACTTACTCCATGTGCTCAAACAGCAGCTTCAGCCTTGACCTAATGAAGCTATCATTTCTAGCAGCGAGAAGTGATTTACTTGTCAGGCTGCTGAGACCAAAATTTTTTCGGATTTGAGAACAGCTGTCTGTGCTAAACTCCAGTATATACAAAATGACTTTTCCTTTATTTGAGTTGAAGTATAAACTGCAAAGGAAAAGCTGCAACTAGCGTCACTCTTTCTGCAAACCAAAGAATTTGATTTAACGCTCAGATAAATTTATGTGTATGAAATTTCAGAACTTTACGTTTGAAAAACTGGCAGTAGTTTCCATTCCAGTAATATAATGTTCATGTGTCTGAATTATACATGTGGGCAGTCAGTCGAAGGGATCACAGATATGTGAAGACTAACAGTAGAATGGCTGTTCAGTTCATGGTCAGCAGAATGACATTTTAGCTTCATAGTCAGGTTAGCAAACACCTTATGTATATGAGCTTTATAATCCAGTACCAGTTATTAGACCTTCAAGTATTTCAGCACAAGTTGTATACTGCTTTTAATATCTGTATGGAGATAGGCATAACAGAGCACCCTGTAGAAGCATGATTTTTTCATTCAATAATGCAATAGCAAAAGCTTAAAAAGATCAGAAAAAAACAGCTAACCTGTAATCTGTTAACTGTCAGGCATGCATGGCGCAGGAGCGTGCTCTTATACTTAAGTTTTTTGGGTTTTGGGTTTTTGGGGATTTTGGTCTTTTGAGGTGGGGGTTTGGAGAGGTCTGGGGAGTTTGGGAGGGGGGGGTTAGTTGTTTTGTTTTGGTTTTTTGAGAATGGGGTTTGGGTTGTTTGGCTTTTTTTCCTATTAAGAGCAGAGGTCACAATATCTTGCCTTGCTGCTATTCATTCTCACCTCTTTGCTTTGCTGGTGAAACTCAGTCCTTTCAAATGAAAGAAAAGATTAATAGTCTTGGATTTTTTGGTTTACAAAATGATAGTTCTGCCAGTTGTAATAATGATGAGCATCACAGAAATATATAAAAATAGATTAATAAATTATATAGTGGTTTTGGAATACTTAATATGGAATGAATCTCAGCTGGTATGAAATGCTCAGTAAGTGGCTTCATATTTCAGGTAATATACCCCAAATCCAAGAAATATTTTACTGTTATTTCTCTACAATCAGACTGGGTTTTTTCGGGTGATTAAATGTAAAACTGTAATACATTTTTTGTTTTTCTTTGTCATCTTGCGTCCTTCTAGTTTATTATTTTCTCCAGCTTAGTCTACTAGTTATAAAAAAAAACCTCTTGTGGAAAATGTGGCACTTTCAAATGCCTCGCATTTTCATGTCTGTCAGCTGCAGATCTCTTTCCTTTCTGTGTTCTACTGCTACGACTGCCACTCCTCCTCCTGTTCAAAGGCATTTTTGTGGATGACATTTGTGAGGCTTACAAAAGAGAGACTTTGAAGAAAGAGGGCACTCAGGAAGATGTTACTCTATTGCTGTATTATTTCACATGTATATTCCTTTAAAGAGAACTTTATTTCTTTCCTTAACTGTAATGACCCAATGATTTTTATTACAATGTTTACATTCTCCTGTGGCAAAGGGGTTTTCTTTTAAATACGGATCAGCATTTTGTCTGCTGACTGGACTGTTTCTAGTGAACACAGAAGAAATGCTATTGATAAAGTAATGTTTTCAATAAACTGTGCAATTATAAAAAGCACAGGGTGAAATACTGGTGCTATACAAGTAAGAAGGAAATGATCTATTGTTTTCAGTACACACATAGTTCTTTCTTACTGTTTTCTTTTTCTCCTTATGTTGCTGGGAAAAACAGTGGTGTTTGAAGTTACCTTAAAAAAAAAAATCCTGTGATTCTGAGACACATAGAGGTCTATCGCTGGTCAATCACTGGTCCATCGCTAACTTAATAGAAGGAAAATTACACAATGTCTTTCGTTCTTGTGGGGACAGAAACATTTGAAAAGGAAAAATGATCTCTTTTTTTTGACAGTTGATCGTAAATTTGATCATTTGCTTTTAGAACTTGCAAAAATTGGTTAATAGAAATTCTAAATATTTTTAACCATGTAATACACTTTGCCCAAAACAGATATGTCATTTAACTTTTAGATTTTTAAAAAATTACTCTTAGAGTCTTTTATAGATGCAGAATGAAGAAAAACATGTTTTATGTTTAGAATTGTTTTTGCTTTTATCTGACCATTTTTGAAGACATATTCTCTGAAATACTTCAGTTCTATCCCATATGTTACATATACATAATACATGATGCATAGTACTTCTGGGAGATAACCTGAATAATTCACCTACAGTAATATGATCATGTTGCACTTCAGGTTATAAATGTTTTATTGCCATAATATATTGTCAAATAACATAAAAAACCCCTAAAAATTTATATTGGTGAATCCTTATCTTAAAATCTTTATTAAGATTTTGGATTTATCAATCATGATTCTGTTTATCTTATTTTACATAAATTTAATTTTATATCTACTTATTTTATTAAAAGATAGGAATAAATGAAAAGATATGTTAGAGAACAGTACAAACCATTTAACTAAATTAATCTCTTAAATTTATCCTCTCCAATATAAATAGCTTTGTATACTTTAAGATGGAGTTGTTGGCTACTTCACAGGTAAGGAAATAAGTGTAAGTGCTTCTCCAAAGCCAGAAAAAATTAAAGAGTACTGGCTTGCAAGCTGATTAAAAAAGCAAGTGAGAAGAAATAAGGAGTTCCCATTATTTTGAAAATTAAGTTAAATTTCCAAAATTCTTAAACTCAAGTATGCTTTGTAACTTTTATGGCCAAAAGTTAGGTTGAATTATATGTGTGAGGAAACAGGGGCATCCATTACTATTTAACTAAAATGGCATGTGTGAGGAAATGGGAGCATCCATTGTTATTTGACCAGGAGTCCTGTTAAATAACAGGAATAACCTATTATTTCACATCTGCTGATCTTTAAAAAGGAAATGCTGTCTTTATTAATTCTGAAAGTGTCAGTCTGTGTAAACTAAATGATGGAATTTTTCAATGAGACTGTTTGTCATAGGGATTATCTGATGAATTTAGTATGCCTGGAAAGTTTATTTAACAGCTCATTTACCATTAAAAAAAGATTCAGTTGAACTATGCAGTAAATGAATGCCCGATGTCCCCTCTGCACACCTCCAGTTTTATTTCCAGCAAATAAGTGGTGGCTTATTTTGGCTAAAAAGTTATATAAAAATGTTTTGGTTTGGTTTGTTTTCCCAATCAGATTGCTTTTTCTTAGCTGCAGGTTCGTAACATGCCTTAATTACTGTGAATTTCCTTTATTCTGCCTGATATGCTTTTATTTTTTTTTAAATCACACTGTTTACTTTTCCTTAAATTTTGTTTTTGCAATTTCCTTATATTTTGTCTACCATGGGCATTTTTTTAAAAAAGTGTGAGTTAAAAAGTAAGATTAAAAAGTAGGAGTTAGTAAATAGCAAATTGGACTTTCAGCAGCTCAGTTGCAAAATTTCCATTGACTCACATTACTCAGGGCCAGGATATTATATAGCAGGTCCACAAGGAGGACCTATCATTCAGTATTGGAAAAGGTTTAGTATTGGAACCTCTGACTGTCAAGTGTCCTTCTTGACTCTAGAGTCAGCACAGAGACAAGTGAAGGAATAATATCTCAGTTGATATTGACCAGAAATTAAATTCCCAGATTAGGGAAATAAATCACAGGGCTAGGTAATTGCTTTTTGTTGTTGTAAAAAAAACCCTATAGACTTCTATTACATCATAATATATTAATTACATCTTAATTACATTTATTCTAAGGAAGTGTTTATGTCTTATGGTGGTAGATATGAATACTAGAATTTTGAAGAAAGGTTCAACATGTAGAAAAATAATTTTATCATCTAAGAACTGTCTGGCAATACCAAAAAAATATTCAGTGTTTTCACCATACAATTCTGTGATGACTATGCAAGGCCATTTGTAGAACACAAATGTTTTACAGTCACTATGTATTTAAAGCAGTGAATGAGAGAAGTAAAACTGAGAGTCTAGTACATATCACTTATGTAAAATTTTTGCCTGAATTTTCTGAAGTGTATTGAGTGCGTTTAATCCAGCTCGTGTATGTCTAGTAAATACATAAATTTAAGATGATCTTTACCTCATTGAAGATGATCTTTACTTCAGAATCTTTTTGTTTGTTTTAAATTCCAGATCCGTCTGCTCCACCAGCTCCATCTAATATCAGAATTGCCAATATCAGTGCGAACAATGATGGGAGTGTAAATGTAATGATTACTTGGGATCTTCCAGAAGAGCCTGATATCCCAGTGCATCACTACAAGGTTTTCTGGAGCTGGACGTATAGCAAATATGTAATCCCAGCTAAAAAAAAGAGAAGGAAGATTACTGATGGGGTAAGAAAGAAAATAATACCTGAGACAGAAATATGGCTTATTTCTGGCACAAAATAGAGTGTAAGGATAAAATATGTGATAAATTGCACTGATTTCAGCATCTGGTCAAGTAGTGATCTTAATTCTTAATATCACCAACCCCATAAACAATTTTTGATCTCTCAGTTCCTATCTTTCACTGAACTCGAGGAGAGAAGTAGACTTTTGCCTTAAAATGCAGGTAAATACTATAACATTTATCAGGAGAGATGAATAGAAAGATAAATGCTGTTTCTTCTCTAAATTCAGGCTTATTTTATTAATGCTTCTTAAAGATACAATGCCTGTTTTATTTAAAAAGCCTAACATCATCTGTCGCATTGTTTTTTCACCATGCAAATAAAACTTGTGACACTATCATATAGAACAAACATTGAACAGTCAGTAAAGGCCCAAGGGAAAAACAAACTGAAAACTCTTTAAATAAGCTGCTGTACCAAAGATCTGGCATATTTCCATACCAGCAAGTTCCTATGAGTTTCTTCAATGATGTATCAAATACTACTTTAATGGAAAACTGCCTGTTGTGATATTCTTAAGTATGTCACATATTATTTTAAAGTAGTTAATAGAAATAGAAATCAATTACAGATAATGGACTGAACTTAAATGCATTGTGAGAATTTAGTCCCATGTCTATGTTAATACTGTGTTTTGGCTCTGGCTGCCCCCTTGCACTGTGATAAATGACAATTGAAGGGTTATAGTTTTGTCTCTGTCCCTCAGTCACCAAACCTCGAGAAAAATAAAGGCAATGAAGGCTGTGTGCCGAGTTCATCTACAGCAGATTGGTCACTGCAGAGGTGCCACTGCAAGAGCATGCTGGAGCCATGCCTTCTCATGGGAACTGATGGGTGGTCAGGGTCCAGAGGCTTCAGAACCCCCACCATGAGCTCTGTGCTGGGCAGGCAGGAAAAGGAAATTTCCCTGCAAAGGTGGACAATATGGAGTAATTTCAGGGGCTGAGATAACTTGGTTCTTTGTTTCTACTTCAGTTAAATACTTTTATTTTTTTTTCAGTAAATATGCATAGAAAAAAAAATTAGTTCTTTCTTGTACTTTTAAAAAATCACTTTGGCAAGACAGGAGCAGGGTTCAGTTGTGGTAGGTAGAAGAGTTTGTGTTTCTCAGGAAAGCTGCCATTGGCTAGAGATCTTCATGGCAGAGGCTACAGCCACAAACTGGTCCTTAAATCACAAACCCAAGAGAATTTTAGAATTGAGATGGGTCATTAATGTTGTGTTGACACTTTGTGTAGGTTACATCCTACATATAAATGTGTTAAAACACATACACGATACAACATTACAGAATTAGGACCAAGTTATGACCTTGAATATAGCGAAATGCAGAAGAGCCAAGGCATATTGTAGAGAAAGGGCAAGTTCCTTCAGTAACATCTTTCATATTACTCCTTTCTTTCATATTACTGCTCTCTCAGTAATATCTTTCATATTACTCCTGGCTCGTTGTACAGCATGTCATGAAACTGTATGTCAGTGCCAGTGAGATTTAGATTTCCCGCACAGGACTCTCAAGAGGTATTGATTAGCAAAATCAATGGTCCTTTGAATATTATAGGAACCTTTCTGTCTAAAAATTGAAACTGCACAAAACTTTAAAAAAGAATAATTAAAGATGGAATATTCTTATTTTTTAAAGATCATTGAAGTTGGGGTTTTTTTGCCCCCACAGTTTTTACCTTTAGATACAGCCTAGTCCAAATAATTTTATAATAATTTCCATATGAAATCATACCAGGTGGTCATTCAAATAATTTTACTGCAATATTAACACTGTTAATTGAGCATTATAGTCATGTTATAAATACTTCAGCATAAAACAAGTAATAGTAATTGATATGAAGTGCTTTTGACAATCCCTGAAGTGTTAAATATGGCAGTATGTTATTATCTTTTCACTGTGGATTGACTGTCAGACTTTAAAGGCACAAAGTGTTCTAATGAAAACATGGAGTAAGATCTTCTGTCTGAGATATGGGCTAGAAGGGCATTTTTATAAATACATTAAAAACATCTAGAAATGTTAGAATACTGAGAAGACCTGGCTTTTCTTTGCAATATCATGGGACTTGCCGTAATTTATGGATTATTGACCAGAGAATGATAATCTTACTCTGGTGTTTCCCCATTTAATACACTTCTGTGACAATGAAAACTCTATTTTTTCTTTTCTGTTTTCCATTCTATAGCAGAAAAGTGTTCTTACCAGTGAGGGGGTATGTTTGGTTTTGGGTTTTGGTTTTTTTCATTTTTGTTTTCAACAGATGAAACAAATAGAAAATATTAACAAATGTACTGAATGTTAGATTTTAGCTGTCTTCAGACTGACTGTCTCTAGAAAAAGTTTGCAGTTGCTTTGCTAACACAGAAATTGGAGAATAAAAAGTTTAAATTTCTTTGGCTAAAATAATTTTGGCATAAAACCCCCCTGTGTTATATGTAAAAAAATTCCTTTAGTTTTGATCTAAACAATAGGTGTCTGTATTTGCCAAGTAATTGCCAAAATTATGTAAACATCAAGAAGGTTAGTATTTAAAAAATGACACAGAAAAAGAGAGTCCAATAAAATATGTTTTTTAAAGAAAGGAAATTTTACTCTGTTCTCTGTTTTCTAGTTTCAAAAGAGTAGTGTGCCTAAGATAACAGGCCTGCTTTTAACGAGGGCCTGTGTTTCAGTAATACTGTAACTACTTTGTATATTTATTCTCCTCTATTATAGGCCCAAAATTATGTGGTCCTGGAGGGACTTCAGCCCAACAGCAACTACAATGTAGAACTGCAGGCAGTAACACGTTGGGGTCAGATTCGCCTGAAAAGTACTAAGGTTTCTCTCCATTTTAGCACGACTCAGGACACCAGGAATAATAGTGAGTAATTGTGTTCAAACACATGAATGCTTTATCTCTTCTTTCTGGAATTTGAAAATTTTATATAATGATTTATTAAAAAAAAAAAAAATCCTTAAATCTTTCTGTTTCGTATCGTAGTGATCCTGTCCTCATGAAGTTGAGTAACCTTTTAGTGTTAAATTTCTTATCTAAAAATTGGTGGCAGTTTTTGCCTAGTTCTTTATCTTAGATCCTAGTCACCTGAAATTGACAAATGCAACGAAAGTGGAAGCATTTGCATGACTGTGATGTTAGTATTTTTTAAATGCAATACAGGTATAAATGCTTACTGTATTTGTCAGTGGCTGGAATAAAACCATTTCTGTGTCTTTGTCTTAGCTGGACAGTTTTAGCTTGCAATGCTCTTCAAAATCCTGACTATTTTGAGTAGCCCATTAATTCAGATTCTTGAGCCACACAAATATGTATCTATTATGAACTGATATAAAACATATAAAACTCTTCTGTTGAGGAATCTAAAATGTTCCATGCCTGACAAGCAATGAATTCTCAAGAAATTATTGCACAGATAGGACCCAGATTCAAATTAGAATCTTGAGATTTCTAGATGTCAGGTTATTTCTTGATAACCAGGTTCTTTAAAACCTCACGTACTAAATATTATGACTGAGAAGCATATCTGAATCTGAAAGTAAACCATGATTCTTAGTCTTAGTTAAATGCTATTTGTATAGTTACAATACCAAGTTACTGCCCCAGCAGCTGATGTGTCTCTAACTAACCAATACAGCAAAATTCTTATAATAAGATGTTAAAGAATATAATTTCAAATAAATCTTGTCTTGACTCCATTTCATTTTCCATCCATTGACATTCTTTTTTTTAAAGTGCACTCAGTTTAATCTTTACCTGTCAGCATTTTCATAACATAGAATCATAGAATCATAGAATGGT